CAGCAAAAGGAAAAGATGAAAACGCGATTACAGTACCACCGCGAAGCGCTCCGACCGCGAAGCACACCACCGCAGCCCACCGACCGCGAAGCCCACCAACCGCGAAGCCCACCAACCGCGAAGCCCACCAACCGCGAAGCCCCACACCACCGCAGCCCACCGACCGCGAAGCCCACCAACCGCGAAGCCCACCAACCGCGAAGCCCACCGCCGCAGCCCACCCCTGAGTGGCAACTCCTCTCCTCGCCCTGGCTAGCTCCTCTTATAGCTCGGGCATGGGTCACGTGGTATGGAATACCTGCTCCCTGCCGGCTCCTGGGGAGATTAACCCCATCCCTGCCGGAACGAGGACAAATGCCTAACAAGATCCCCGCATACTTTATCATATTTGGAGGGACAATTTCTGCTTTTAGTTACACTGATGTAAATTCGGTGTAACCATTAACTCAAAGCAAAATTTGATGCAGTGTGCATTAATGTCTTATTGGCAGAATTTGGAGGGATTTCTACAATTAAAATTGCCTAACACTGTATTATAAAACCTTCTTTCAGTTGCTTCTATAAACCTGCCAAACTTTAACTCTTTGGGTTGAAATTTTCCATAGTAGATGTCTGCCTATGCCTGAAGGTTTTTAGAGTTTTTTCCATAAAGGTTACTCAGCTGTTTTCTGCATACAGGAAAAGAGACTAGAATGGGGTTTTGCTGCTGAAAGAACTTGTAAATCTATTCTGTTTTGAAGCTTTAATGTGTTCATGCTTTGGTGAACGGTTTTACATACCATCTGGGTTCAAAAAGGTGCACTTTTTCCTAGTCTTGTAATAATCATTTTAAATATACATGAAGCTTCTCTCTGGTAATGTATATCCAGAGATGTGTTTGTGAAGGTAAACTAACTGATAGATTTAAAAATACTCTGATGAGGAAATAGTGCATATAAAACAAAAAGACAAAACTGTTAGGAATGTTTATTTTTGTCTTTGAATTTAAAGTAATAAAAAAATAACCTTTTCTGACATCGTTGTATAGAGTCATGCTAGGGATTTAAACTAGGGAAAAATTTGCAGAAAGTGAAAACACAGTGTGCTGAAAGCACAGTTTAAATAGCTGAATTGTTTGGTGACCTAAATTCAAGTTATTACTGGACATTAAGTTTCCTTGCAAAATAATTGTAGAAGCACTGATTGAAAATTCATTGTTAAAGATGAGATGGCAACGTTAATTGATTTCATCTTCTTTTTTTCCCTATGAAAGATGAAATTGATTTTCCTCACTATTACAGTACTTGCTGTATGAGTTTTCTAAATGCATAGATTAAAATTTCTGTTGTCAATCTTAGCTCTGTTAAACAGCTAAAATTCATATCAAAAGTGATCTCAAATGTGCCACAATGTCATATTTTGTTTTATTGTTAATTATCTGTAGAAGAAAAATCCCAGACTGCTCACCTTAATTCACAGGGTTAAAATTTTGTGCCCATTTTATATGTATTCAAATGCATCACCATTGCCCTTCTAATTGAACTAATTGAAAGCTGCTTCTTCAGTGGGAGAGAATTAACATTTCAATTCTAAATCTTTCATGAAGGGTTGTTCTTTTAAAATAGCTATCACTTCCTCTTGTTCATATACTGGTTACAGTATATGAGTCCTTACCTCATTATAGCACATAGGGTTGCTATAATTAATGGAGGAAGCATATTTCTGTAGTTCCATTTAGAAATAATGAAGATTCTGGTGATTTTTAATTACTCTGACAGAGATTCTATGCGTCACTGGCCTCTGGTGAAAGATAAATTTTCACTAGAAAATTAGAGGTGCCAAAGTGAGTAGTAAGTCCTCAGATTTAACTTCAGTAGAGAAGAAAAATCAACATTTAAGGAGTTTTTACAGGGGAATATGGGAATGTGGAAGAAAAAAATGTTTGGATGACAGAGGAAATTACAGAACACAGGGATTATATACAGCTTTGGAAAAATAAGGCAGGTGAAATGCACTCGCCTATTGTATACAGTCATAATAATATAGAGTTCGGGGGTCAAACTTTAACTCTAAGTGTCTTTCATTTATTAACTTTGATTGTGTTTGTAATATTTATAATGTATTTTCAGTTAAATCATTAGCATACATTTTTACTCTTAGAAGCATTTTAATTTTTAGCTTTTGACTTTAGCATTAAATACCTGACCATGTACTCCTGTGGCCTCTTTAATAGAATGCTGCAAGGGGATTATTGTCTTTAGTTGATAAAATCATTATCTCTTAATTTATCACTATAATGAGAAGAAAAAAAAAATTTAGTCCTTCATTTGTAATTCACATAAATACTTCATTCTCCATCCTAATTACACCATTAGAGGCATTGTAAAACACTGTGCCATGTGGTTACATCTATAGTACCTAAAAATATTTGAGTTCACAATACAGACTGCGTTATGTGTTATGCACGTATTCAGTGATAGTCTGGATTTAAGAGAAGCTTCATATGAAGGGTACGTTCCTCTGACAGATGCCTGCTTATTGGCATAAACCTCTGAATTGTAAATTTAGAACTGCAAGAAGGATAAACCTTCATTTCCACAGTACAACTCCATGAAATCTTGTGTCCTTGTTTTTTTTTCTGAAGAAGGGTGTGGTGGGTTGACCCCAGATGGCAGCTAAGCCCCCCCCCCCCAATCACTTGCTCATTTCTCCCTCCCAAAGATGGAAGAGAATCAGAACAGCAAAAGTGAGAAAAACTCATGGGTTGAGATAGAGACATTTTAGTAAGTGAAAGGAAAAGAAAGAAAAAACAAACAAAAAAGAGATGCAAAAGCAATCACTCACCACCTCCCACCTGCAGAGTGATGCCCAGCCAGACTCTGAGCCATGGCTACCTTGGAAACACCCCCAGTTTTATTGCTGAGCATGATGTTATAGGGTATGGGATATCCCTTTGGTCAGTTGAGGTCAGCTGTCTCTGCTGTGTCCCCTCCCAACCTCTTGCCCACCCCCAGCCTACTCACTGGGATAGCAGAGTGAGAAACAGAGAAAGCCTTGATGCTGTGCATGCACTGTTCAGCCATAGCATTGGTGTGTTATCCACACTGGTCACAAACCTAAAATGCAGCACCATACTGGCTGCTATGAGGAAAAATCTGTCCCAACCAGACCTGGTAGAAAAGGCGATGCATTTTGATCTTGAGATTTAAAATAGTCTGCTTTATATGTTTTCTGTAGACACGTGAATGCTAGGTTTTTGTTTCTCTAACTGATAGAGGATGAAGTTTATATACAAACGTGCTGGATTGTAACGGCTGTTTTAAAACAGGTACAGCACATACAGAGAAAAAAAAGAGGAGGATAAAAATGTTCTGAGAGAAGAAACAAGTATGAATGTGGCTAGAAAAATAATTTCACTTTTATTAATGTTAAAAGGTAGCATGTGTTCATATGTAAAACTACTTTGTATCTAGGTGCATTTGCTCATAAGCTACATGTTTTATTATTGATTGTTTTAATGTTTTAATGTACATTCTTGAGAGCTTAGACTGACATGTTTGACAGTCTATAAGTACCTTTTTATTCAAAATTAAATTTCTAATGAAAAATTAAGGATTTTTATTCATTTTCTTTGACTAACACTCTGTACAATCCTTGTTCATATCAAACTCCTATTAATTCTCTTTTTTTCTGAGTGGTGACTGAAGATTAAATTCTATTTTCAGTTTCTTTCATAAAAATCCAGAGTAATTCAGGTCATTGTGAGTGGCTGCATTTACTTGTTTACATATGTCCCACATTTCCAGGACTGAGGCTTTAGGTGAGCCTTAGGACTCAAGAAAAGAGAAAACTTATCTTTGCTGTATTGATTAGTATAAAGTCAACACTGAGTCTTCCAGTAGTGCTTATGGGTGGACAGGGATATGTCTATCTGTCCGTGTCTTCTGTATATGTCTCAGTGCTTTTTGTCAAATTTATATGGCTGATTTTGGATGCAGAAGTTGTCTGGATTTCTTTTTGGAAAGGGTCAATACTGTGTCTGTTATGGGGATTCAAGGGAGTTAAACAGCAGACGTCCATCTTTTGGAAGTGATGTGCAGATTCAGGTCACAGTAAACCTGAGGCCATGCTCTACTCTGTCGCCTAAGGCAATAACAGCAAGAAAGGCTTGTCTAATTGAGCTACTCCCGATTCTCAGTGATGCAATAGACACCAGAATGTGGACCAAACTATGGACTCCAGGATTGTTTCTGAATGGTTTAAAAAAGGTTTCTGACTAAGGAAATGGTAAACTTATTTTAACAATTAGCCACTGTGTGAATTGTCTGTCATTTTGTATGTCTGATGTAAGGAACAATATTGCAAAGGTTCAGTGTTTGCATGAATAAAGTACACATGTTCATTCTGTCCCTGAACAAATGGCCAGTCACTATTCTATAGTGATTTTCTGTACCATGTCTACTGCCTTGGCACTACTTTTATTATGTCTACAGGGCTAGTATAAATGAAGTACTGCAACAAATTCTTCCATTGTAACCTTGTCCAGATTTTATTTTTTAAAATGTAAGGGAATACTTTCTTAAAAATACCATCGGGGGGAATTTTTCATTTTGCATGATGAAGCCACTACATGAATCCTAAGCGGAGGGGTTTTTACTAAACGAAGCTTAGAAATGCATCTCAGTGTTTAAAAGACTGTAATCTATTTGCAGTTCCTTTAATGAGAAACATGAAGGAGGATGTATGAAGAAAAAAGAAAATCTTTAGTTTGAGCTTGCTTTAACTTATGGTGTGTGTTAAGGACCTATAATTCAGGACTTAGTGAAGACAATTAGCAAATCACACATCCACTCACCAATGTCTAAACGTGGCCTGAAAAAGTATAATATTAGTCTTGTTATCTATGCAGAGAATATTGATGCCTATAATTGTCATTGCCTGACCCTTATATGTTTCTGTCCTGATAACTCTGTCAGCCTGGAAGCTAATTTTGTGGTGGGTTTTTTTGTGAAATCTTTCAGTGGTGTTATCAGGGAGAGTGCGTACCTTTTGGCACTTGGCCCCAGAGCATAGATGGGGACTGGGGTTCGTGGTCAATATGGGGAGAGTGCAGCAGGACCTGCGGGGGAGGAGTCTCCTCATCTGTAAGACACTGTGACAGTCCAGCGTAAGTAGCTAAAGTAAGCCAGAGCCAACAAAAAGACACATTTGGAAATTATTCAAAACTGTGGTTTCACATGTTATCTGTAAAAATGTTTTGCTAGTTTGCCAACATTTTTCTTCAAAATAGCTGACAGAAACAGCTTAACAGGAGTAGCTCACTAGACATGCTTTTAACATTTTTTAATGTATCTGTTATGTATGTACTGTAAAGATAGTTTGATTTATATTTAGTAGTAACCAGTACAGTTTTCTTTCTGCAACTTAATGTTCATGCAAAATATGTTTAAATTATGCCTTAGATAGATTTCTTTCTTCTTAAGACATTATCTCTGATGCTTGTCTAGGATATAAAGTAACTATTGCAAGTTACTTATTAAAAAAGCAACACAGTATTTCCAAGATTTTGCATACAACTGCTTACATATAAACCATAATTAGTATTATTATGTTGCATACAATACATTTATGTGCTATCACATCCAACACTAAGTTGTGACTTCCCACTGACTCTTAAAACAATTCAGCAACTTCTCTACCTGCCACTACTTCCTATTGGTCCATCTACTCTCTCTCAAGAGGGGCCAGCTTCTCCACTACAGCTTGATCTGTTGTGTGTATCTGTACTGGTCCTTTCATCTGTCTACTTCCCAATGTCCCTGAGCACTGTTCCAGAGAAGGTCTGTCAGGTAAGTGCTCCTCTCTGTCACTAGTGCTTCTCAGATGAGGAATGTTTACTTATTTCCATTGCTGTTCTTTGCTGAATGAATCACTGCTTTTTTTTCTGTTGCTGCTTGCCCTATTCTGGTTGTCTCATCACAGCTATAGGTCTTAGCAGAAGGATGGTTTTATTATTCCATATTTTGTTCTTTTCATGTCCCATAATCTCTATTTCCATCACCATTATTAGTTTTTAAGACCACTTTTTCTTGAAAACATGAAGCTTTTGTGTTTATTTCATGAAAATCCATTCTGTGACTTTTTTCACTCCTTTCTTATCTTCTCCTCTCTTCGCGCTTTGGTTCTTTGTTGCTTATACCCATGTTTTGCAAGCTAGGCTTTCCACTGCGCTCTGCAAGACAGACACCATAATGTCACATTATTGCTGTTTAAGGTGGCTTGTTCACCTCCTATCATTAGCAATGACTATCAATCAAATCTAGCAAATATCACTACTTACTGAATGAATTCAAAAGCAAAAATTATTCATATGCATTGATAACAATTCAGACTGTTACTGAGAGAATAATAAATTAAATACATTATTTTTTTTCACAGAAGTATGTAAAAACGCTAGTGAAATGTTTGTCTGGAGCATGAGTAATTTCCTAAGATTTTTTAACTACTCCTGTCACCATGCATGTCAGTCGGTATGCTGAAAGATGATTAAAATTTAAATGTTTAACAGTGCAGCAAGCAAATGCAATATTTGTTTAAATTTTCTTTTGTGTGTGTCTGCATTAGGAAAAAATTCCCTTTGGTTCATTAATTAACTTGAGTTTCTAGGATAGTGTTGCCTCGTTAAATACCTATAATATGAAAAATAGTATAGATTTTCTCTTTAGTTAATTGTAAATTCTTTTGTTTCTTAATTATAAGACAAACACCAAGTTTTTTTTCCATTCTTTTAAGATATGAGCTATTAACTTAAATGGAAGATTTGATTAATCTTCCATTTAAGTCATTGTTAATTCAGTATTTGACCTCTGTGGAAGATAGATAAGGTTCCTGAACAATTTGAGAATTTAAAAGCCAATGTCTTAATCACACTAACAGAAACCTGCTTACTCTGGAGTTTCCTCAGATTTAATACTGTTTAATTCAAATCAGATTCTTGAACTAGAAAATGCAGTCCTTGCTGCTGGCTCCAGTATTTAGCAGACAGTGTTTCTTCATTTTGATATATTTTCAAGTGTAATATGAGAAGATTAAAAAAAACAGTATCATGTAGGTTGTTTACACATTTCTCATTCTAGTTTTACAAAGCAAGCAAATATTAAAAACAATGCCTTTTTAGTATGTTCAAAATACAATTAAACTATTTCTCGGGATCTATGCAAATAAGACAAATACTATATGACTGAAGATTTTCAAGTACCCAGTATTGTTTTGTATCTACTCGAATTCAGGTCAATGCTAAAATTCTTATTAAATAAAATATTTTAAAATCTCACCTTAAAACTTCTATGTACTTTTAAAATGTATTTATATGTTATATAATATATATCTCTTGGACTTGTATTTATATTAATAATACATAAATATATATCATGAACTTGTGTTTATACTAATACAGATACTAACACATAAAACATGTTTTTCCAGGCCTTCAGGTGGAGGCAAATATTGTCTTGGAGAAAGGAAACGGTATCGCTCCTGTAATACTGATGTAAGTAAATTTTGTTCCACTGTAAAAGTACAATCTCAACTTGTCTGGTTTTTGTTTCAGCGGCAATGGATGCATTTTTTCCCCAGTTTAGAAAAGCTGTGAATTCTGTTTAAGATGATAAAGGAGCATTCTACATCAGACCAAAGGTCTATCTAGCCCAGTTTCTTGTCTCCCAGCAGTGGCAAATAACAGGTGCTTAGGGAAAAATGATAAACTTTTGGCTGCCAAGGCATGACTTTTCCATGGATATACTGTATGACTTTCCAGAAGCTGGGTGTTAAAAGACTTCTTAAGCTCCACATCATATGAGTACCATGTTGCTTAACTGACACAAATGGAAGTGGAGGACACGAATCTACTTTTAAACCCTCTTGCCCTTTTTATACCTTTATAACTTCCAGTGCTAATGTGTTATACAATCCTCTTATACATTCTGTGAAAATGTATTTCTTCTGGTGTGTTTTAAAACTGCTGCTTTGCCATCAGGTATCCACTGGTTCTTGTGTTACCAGAATGATCATGCAGTTTCATTTTAGAGTACCACTGAGGGGTGGGACGGTGTATAAATGTATAAAATCAAATTATGAAACAAAATTACAAATTCAAGTAAGTTAAAAATTGTAACAGAAAAAAGTACACACCAATAAAGAATTTCACTAGTAAGTTTCCAAATCAGTAGCAGTACAAACACAAACAGGCTTCCATATTATTTTAGCTTCAAATTTGTCTCAATTTTCTTCTCAAATCAAGACAGTTCATAACAGTGAGAGAGTCTGTGTACCTAATGGTGTTGTTTCAACTGTTCATCTTTTGATATTTTTCAGAAAAAAAAGTTAATATGCTGGTTCCTTGATAAAACCTTTTTTTTATGATTGTTATTAACTATCATAAGTATTAGTTCTGCAAACTTCTCTATGGAGGTAATCCTCATTGTTAAGGAAGTATTACAAATTTCCAAATTCAAAATTACTTTCCTACTGCTAATCACAGCTGTTCTGTTAGTACAGCCAAGAAGTGTGTTAGGCCTTTGGGCACAGTGTTGTGAGAGAAACTGAAGCTGAACTGCTTGTCCAGTATGAGCTGTAAAACTTTTCTAGTCATACAACTTTCCAAATTACAGTGTACCGTTCTGAAACTTTGACCATCTTATTTTTTCCATAGATGTGTATCTTTGTGCAATTTTCATTTGAATGAATCTGACTTACCACATGATACGCTGCAATTAATTTACTTTTGTCTTAATTTTCACTCAGATGGTCTTTTTGTAATTAGAAAATTTCATAAGCAAGAATTTTGTTTATACTTCCAATTCACAAATTAATATGTTGAGTAACATTGAACATATTTTTCGTTCTTACAGTTGATGATAGGAAATTCACCTATGAATTCACCAACTAAGTGATAATTCCTTATTGAAATGTGACAGTAAATATTTAATAAATTTATTGTGTGCTTTACTGAACTAGTACAGTTGTGTTCCTAGTCTTTTAGTCTGGATGTTGTGCGCTACTGAGTAAAGTGCCTTATAAAAATCTAAGCATATTCCATTATCCTTTTAATTTTACCAGGAAGTGTAAAAAGTTTTAGTTGATAAAAAGTATTCTTATACAAAATACTGATTTGTATTATTATTTATATTTCTTTTAAACCTGTATCAGTCAAGTCTCTACCAACTTTTCTGTTTATTTAGGATTGATGTCAGGCAAACTGTAACCTAGAATATTCTATTTGTCCTTCTCAAATAATGAACTTTTTACATTAGCACTGTTTCAGTTTGTAAGTACAGTCTAAGATTTGTTTAAAAATTCATGTTTGCAGACTGGAGCCCTCCTCCCTTAAGTCTTTGAGAACTCTTGCAAGCAATTCTTAATGAAAATTTTTTTCTCCAATAGATATTATTTAGTATCTGCTACAGTAACTAGTACACAAGAAAGTTTACATAATAAGTAAACCTGCTCCCTCACAAATATACAACAATTTTTTAAAGCTTTTTGTTTTTAACAATTGTACCATAGCTACCTAGTGATATAATTGAAATGTTGCTAGGATTTCTTTTATTCTTATCATATTTTATTTCTTATTGTTAGACACTTTTCAGACAGTTTTATTCTTAGTCAATTTTGCTTCCCTTATTCTCTCTGTACTTGTTTTTTACTGAAGGGAAGCATATAGGGTCACAGAAGGAACATCTAGAAGGTATCTGAGGAAGACATTCAGGTTATTCCCTGGCTCAAAGGCAAAATCAACTGCCATTAAACCATTCTCACATGATGGTTAGGCAGCTGACCTGTTAGTCTGATCTGTTTTGAAATACCTCCAGTCAGAGAGATATCAGTAGGATTCTTTAATATCCTTACTGTTAGGACAGTTTTCCTAAAATATAGTGCATGATGTTTTCCCACCCTTTAAGACCCTTACTTACTCTGTCCCCAGTTAGGAGACAGCTGATCATGTTCTTTCTGTGGCAGCCTTTCCTGTGTTTGCAAACCACTATCATGTCTCTTCTTGGTCTTCTTTACACTAGACAATCTCTATGTTAATAGCCTTTGGGATCGCAGTAGTGCGCATCTTGAAGCATGGTGCCCAAACTTCTGCACAGGGTTCTAGCTTGTGCTGGCCTGTCAGAGCCAAGTACAACTTAGTTCTAAATCTGTCATCTTAGTGATGAGATTCTGTTTATTCATTTCAGTATTATGTCAATTTTTCTTACAGCAGTGACAATATTTATTCAGTCTGCGTTGATACGTAATGCTCAAATCCCTTTCTAAGGAGCTGCTGTTTAGGAAGTCATTCCTCAGCTTGTGCTTGCACAGTTGATTGTTCCTACCCAAGTGTAGTAATTTGCATTCATTGCTTTTTTTTCAAATCACTACTTCAATTTATCAAAATATTTTAAAATTATAATCTTCTGTTCCAAAATGTGTGTTCTCTACCTATCCACAGATTTCAATCTGAGGACAGATTTAAACAAGAAATTGGAAAGGAAAATTTGCATTTCATTGTCTAGGTCTTAAAAACAAATCTTGAACAATAGCAGACTGGGGCCAGGCAATCTGGAAATACTGTTCTTACAGTTTGACTGTAAATAATTTTTTAGCATATTTTTGGGTATGGTTTTCCAGTGCATACACATATTGTGACTTACAGAAGTTTAAATTTACTGCCTTAATAATATTGATGATACTAGTCCATTTCTTTTATAATATTTAATTCTTTTATAGTAATATTTAGGGTTGTAAATAACTAAGAATGCTGAGACTACTAGATTTTTTTCAAGATTTATGATAGTCCTTAGTGCTTGACATTTTTAATGGAACGGCATGTTTGATTAATATAACCATTAAGAGCATGCAAATCTGTCATTGTTTTTATGAAAAATGTGTTGTTTGTATATCTTTTTTGTTGAAGGTGGGTTTTTTTTGCAGTGTCAACATTCATTGCCCATCTGTAATTTTAAATTTAGCACTCCCTAAAGCTCCTACTATTTATAAACAACAACAAAAAATCACTTTGACTTCATTTTTCTTTCAGAGATGAGTTCTGTTGCCCATTATTTTGACCATTTTCATTCTTTGGAAACAGCGCACACACTCCTACTAGGTATATTTCTCATCAAAGACATCCAAAGACATGTATGACTTCTTAATTTAAAAGGTATCTGCTAATAGAAACATTGAGATCAGCAGAAAAGAACATTAGCTGATGAGTTCTGGAAACAAAAGGGTGGTAGAAAGAGCACACTCATCAGAAACTTAGTTTCTTACATAGTGACCAAGGATGAGGAAAATGCTGAGGTATTTAATGCCTTCTTTGCCCCAGTCTTTAATGGTAAGACCAGTTGTTCCCTGAGTACCCAGACCCCTGAGCTAGAAGACAGGGATGGGGAGCAGAATGAAGCAGAATGAAGCCCCTGTAATCCAAGGGGAAATGGTGAGGGACCTGCTTCAGCACCTGGAGATACACAACTCTACGGGGCCGGATGGGATCCACCCGAGGGTACTGAGGGAGCTGGCAGAAGTGCTTACTAGGCCACTTTGCATCATTTATGAGCTAACCGGGGAGGTCCCAGCTGACTGGAGGTTGGCAAACGTGACACCCATCCACAAGAAGGGCTGGAATAAGGATCTAGGGCCAGTCAGTCTGACCTCAGTGCCTGGGAAGGTTATGGAACAGATCATTCTCAGTGCCATTACACGGCACATGCAGGAGAACAGGGTGATCAGGCCCAGTCAGCATGGGTTTACGAAACGCAGGTCATGCCTGACCAACCTGATCTCCTTCTATGATAAGGTGACCCTCTTAGTGGATGAGGGAAAAGCTGTGAATGTTCTGTACCTGGATTTTAGCAAATCTTTTGACACTGTTTCCCACAGCATTCTCCTGGAGAAACTGGCTGCTCATGGCCTGGAGAGGTGTACTCTTCGCTGGGTAAAAAACTGGCTGGATGGCCGTGCCCAGAGAGTGGTGGTAAATGGAGTTAAATCCAGTTGGTGTCCGGTCACAAGTGGTGTCCCACAGGGCTCGGTGCTGGGGCCGGTTCTCTTTAATACCTTTATCAATGATCTGGATGAGGGGATCGAATGCACCCTCAGTACGTTCGCAGATGATGCTAAGCTAGGCAGGCGTGTTGATCTGCTTGAGGGTAGGATGGCTCTGCAGAGGCATCTGGACAGGCTGGATCGATGGGCTGAGGCCAATGGTATGAGGTTCAACAAGGCTAAGTGACGGGTCCTGCACTTGGGTCACAACAACCCCACACAGCGCTACAGGCTTGGGGTGGAGTGGCTCGAAAGCTGCCCGGCAGAAAAGGACCTGGGGGTGTTGGTGGACAGATGGCTGAATATGAGCCAGCAGTGTGCCCAGGTGGCCAAGAAGGCCAACGGCATCCTGGCCTGTATCAGGAATACTGTGGTGAGCAGGACTAGGGAAGTGATCATCCCCCTGTACTCGGCACTGGTGAGGCCCCACCTCAAATACTGTGTTCCGTTTTGGGCCCCTCT